TCCCTGCAAAATAGAGTTAACCCCTTCCTCCCCATTGCCATTAGTACAGTGTCAGTGGTTTTTTTTTTGCACTGATCACTGTATTAGTGTTTTTGGGGATGTCAGTGACCCCAAGTCAGTACCCCCCAATGTCAGAATGTCCGCCGCAGTCCCGCAGTCCCGCCATAAGTACGCTGGTCGCTGCCATAAGTCCCTGATCGCCGCCATAATTCGCTGATCGCCGCCATTATTAGTATGAAAAAAAAACTAAAAATTCCACTATCTTTCCCGCCATTTGTAAACGCTATAACTTTCACGTAAACCAAATAATTTACACGTATTGGGTTTTTTTTTTTTTAGCAAAGACATGTCGCAGAATGCATTTTGGCAGAAATTTATGAATAAATTAGATTTTTGCATTTTTTTTTTATTGGACATGTTTTATAGCAAAAAGTCCAAAATATTGTTTTTTTTTTCCTCAAAATTGTCAGCCTTTTTTTTATAGAGCAAAAAATAAAAACCAAACAGGCGATCAAATACCACCAAAAGAAAGCTCAATTTGTGGGGAAAAAAAGGATGTAAATTTAATTTATGTACCGTATTGCATGACCGCGCAATTGTCCGTTAAACTAGCGCAGCGCTGTATAGCAGAAAAATGGCGTAAGTTGCAGTATTTATACCATAGTTTGTAAACGCTATAACTTCCACACAAAGCAATCAATATACACTCATTGGGATTTTTTTTACCAAAAACATGTAGCAGAATACATTTTGGCCTAAATTAATAACCAACTTTGAGTTTACTATATATTTTTTATAGCTGAAAGTAAAAAATATTGTTTTTCTTCAAAAATTTTGGCATTTTTATGTTTATAGCGTGAAAAATAAAAAGCGCACAGATGATCAAATACCACCAAAAGAAATCTCTATTTGTGTGAAAAAAAGGACGTAAATTTCATTTGGGTGCAGCATTGCATGACTGCGCAATTATCAGTTGAATTAGTGCAGCGCCGAGTAGCAAAAAGAGGCCTGGTCATTAAGGGGGGTAAATCCTCTGGAGCTCAAGTGGGTAATGATTCCTACTCTGAATGGTCTAAGGTTATTAGTGGTGTACCCCAAGGTTCAGTTGTTGGGACCCTTCATTTCTAACTTAGTTTTAAATTATATTGATTTTGGCATTAAGAGTAAAATTTCTGTGTTTGCAGGTAATGCCAGGCTCTGTAGTGGAATAATGTCTTTACAGGATGTCTCCAACTTACAAGCACATCTTAATGCATGTTGCTATGTGACAAATGAGTTTAACCTCTTCAATACCGGGCACTTTTACCCCCTTCCTGCCCAGGCAATTTTTCAGGTTTCAGCCCTCTCACTCTTTGAATGACATTTGCGTGGTCATACAACATTGTACCCAAACTAAAATGTTATCATTTTCTTCACACAACTAGAGCTTTCTTTTGGTGGTATTTAATCACCACTGGGGTTTTTATTTTTTGCTAAATTAACAAAAAAAGACCGAAAATTTTGAAAAAAAACAAACATATTTTTCTTTGTTTCTGTTATAAAAGATTGCAAATAAATAATTGTTCTTCATAAATTTAGGCCAAGATGTGTTCTACTACATGTCTGTGGTGAAAATAACCCAAATTAGGATGTATTATTTAGTCTGTAGGAAAGTTATAGAGTTCACAAACTATGGGATATCTGAATATTGATCAATCCTGAAGTACTGACAGCCAACCTAATTTCTTGAGGTCCAAGAATGTCAGAACAGTACAGATATCCCCCAAATGAACCCTTTTTGCAAAGTAGACAGTCCGACGTATTTCATAAAAGGCATGGCGAATTTATTTTCACTATTTTTTTTACATACTGTCACCAGTGCAGTACAGCGTCATCATATAACTGGCATGGCATGGCAGTGATCAGGGACACTGGTGACAGTACGAAAAAAAAAAATATTTTTTTTATTAGTTTTAATTTTTTATTACATTTTTTTCTCTTTTTTAAGATTTTTTTTCATATTTCACTATGACCAAAGTAGTATAATGTTACCATAGTAACATTGTACTACTTTTGGGACGTGATAAATATTTTTTTACACAATTTGCTTATAGCAAAGAATTACTTTGTTATAAGCAAGCATTTACCTGAATGACATCAATTCATTCAGGGTTTTTTTTGTGCTTAGCTGTGATTTGGCCACGGCTAATCACATGATACAGCTGGCTGTGATTGGCCCAGCGTGTGCATGTGATCACTGTGACCATTCACAGCTAGACACACTTGTATACAATGGATGGCATGAAAGGAAGCCATCCATTGTATACAACTGTCATGTGACCTGCTGTGATTGGTCACAGCAGGTCACATGGTACTGGAAACGGGGCCGGTGCACAGATCTGCCATCGGCCGTGTCCGAGGTACACGGCCGGTGACAGATCGCGCCACAGAGCGGTCCTGGGGCAGGCAAACTGTGCATGCCTAAAATGAAGCCATATGGCATCCACCCGGAGGGATGAGCTGCTAACCTGGCCGCCTTTGTGCTATTGGCCGGGCGGGAACTGGTTAATGTTGATGTTGATATATGTAAAGTAATGCATTTGAAAGCTAAACATGTGCATGCATCATACATACTAGGGGGAGTACAGCTGGGGTGTCAATGGTCAAGAAGGATCTGGATGTTCTGCTGGAATGCATACTTAATTCCTTGGTGCCAACAGTATGCATATATGCAGCCTCTTGGTGGGTGGGCCTTAACGCCGAGAAGCCGCATATATGTGTACCAAAATGTAAACACAGCTGTGCTGAGAGCACGCACCCTCGTGTTCCAGGTACAGTTACCAGCACCTAATGGAAAGTTCCTGATTGCTACTTGCAATCAGGAGCTTTCCCATCATGTGACTGCTATGACAGCCAATCACAGCGGTCACATGATTGAAAACCCCACCTTGCATCTGACACCCCTTGAAGGGCTGGGAGGCACCAGCACTAAGCAGTTAAATAGAATTTAGTGCCACACTGCAGTTTCTAAAGCAAAAAATATACTTTCTTGTGTTAGAAAAGGTATACTGTAGACTCTAGAGAGGGAATCATCATTTTTTTCCCTTTATAAAGCATTAGTAAGACCTCATCGGAATTTATTTTCCCTTGAAAAGAGGCAATTAAGGGAGGATATGATTACAAGGTATAAATACATAAATAGTCCATAAAGTGTACTTGCTGCAAAGTTTTTCAATTTAAGGTCATTAACAGGGACAAGGGTGCATTCCTTTGTCTGAAGGAAAAGACACAAGTTCATATAGGTAAAAAATACACCATAAGTCCATCTAGTTCAATCAACAGAAAAAAAATAATAAATACTGTAAATAGAAAACCTCCATATATAGAAACTTGTGCCCACAGTCAAAAGGCAAAAATACCCTATAAAGTGAGGGGGAAACCGGAACAAGCATTTTACTTATTTAAAAAAATGGTTTTTGATTAAGCAGTTATATTGCATACATTTAGTATTTATAAGATGACATTCTGTATCATTCTTTATTTCTGTATTCTTTGTCTTAGAACTTAGCTTACACTTTCTTTTAGATCGGGCATTGTTCTCTGTACTTGGGAAAGTGTTTATAAGAGAACTGTGCCAGATGAAAAATATTGTGTGAACAAATGTTGTCACCTCAACAACTTCCACTGGAAGTATGAATGAAAATTACAAAAGCACCTATCCTACCATATCCCAGCCTATCAGTTGTATTAGAGACCTCTAGTTGAAACACATTTAAATCTAATACTTTGTATCATGTTGCTCTCCCTGCAAGCAGCTCTCCCTGCATGCTTGTATAACTCTACTATTCAATTCAGCTTCAGCAATCAGAATTTTACTGAAACCCATGGAGTCTGGTTTTCCCCATCAAAAGCATGGTCCAAGCTGCTCCAGTGCTGGAGTGTTACTCGATGATCGCCAGGTCTCCAGCCAATGGTGGTGCGGGTAGGGCGGCACTCTTGCTCGTGTTTTACCTCCTAGGCGGAAATGCAAATCACGCATATATATGTGATTTTGCAGAGCCCTGCTGCCTTGTAGCAGTATTTCTGCTATAGGTCAGAGGGGAAGCTGTTAAACAAGCTGAAGTTAGAAGCTGATTGGCTATCATGCACAGCTGCACCAGATTCTGAGTGCACCAGGTTTAGTAAATCTACCCCAGTGAGTCTGTTCAGGTTTTGGGTCTCTCTAACTGTGTAATTTTGCCACACCCACATTTTGCTGCAGTGCAATTCTCACACTGTTTCATCATTCTCCTCTTGGTGTCTAAATCTTAACTGCCCACAGGAAAACAAATTATCTACAGATCTGCAGGATTCAACAACTTTCACTCAAGATTCACACATATTTCACATTTCAATATATGTAAATCTTTGGTTAAATTTTCGTAAATATTGGGAGAAAACGTCAGTGGTCTGAACTGACTTCCAGGTAGCGATGATGATGAACCATGTCTGTCCATGTATGTCAGCATGGCCAATTGTAGTCACCATCAGAAATACATGTGAAGGAGTGACAAAGTAAGAGTAAAATTGGATAATGTTGACACCCATCACAGGGAGTGTCTGATCTTCATGGAAGAATCACCAGGTATAATGAAATTATGCCAACTTTAAAAAGATTGCAACTCACTAGAGATGAGCGAATTATTCCAAAATTCGGTTCGGCTGATTCGCCGAATTCGCCGAATAAATTCGCTTCGAGCCGAATATATTCGCTGCAAATTTAACTTATAAAAAAGGGGTGTTTCTAGGCTTCAGAGAGTCTTTATATAGTGCAGAACACTGTAACTTTAATTTAAATGCCCTTGGAGTCTGCTGGGGAAGAGAAATAATACTGTCAGTCAGTATGACATGCAGATGAGTGCCGTCGATCTTAGAATCACCGCACACTTCACTCATTTGGGCAGTCACGGGGCCAAAACCAGAGTGTGGAGCCACAGTGTGGCGGTGGAGGCAGCAGCAATGGGAGGCCATACAGCACCCTATGACAAAATGGAACCCACCCAGCAGTGTGAGGAGACCTGAAAGTGGCACATGGCAGAGTGTGGCGATGGAGACAGCAGCAATGGGAGGCTGTACAGGGACCCATGACACACTCTGGACCTGGAAGCAGCATGAGGAGGCGGTACAGGGGCCCATGACAGATTACGGGCCTGGCAGCAGCATGAGGAGTCGGTACGGGAGCCCATGGCAGATTACGGGCCTGGCAGCAGCATGAGGAGGCGGTACAGGGGCCCATGGCAGAGTGGCGGAGCGTAAGCAGCTAAAATTGAAGGCCATACAGAGGCCTATGTTAAAAAGTCCCCCCAGCAGCAGCGTGGGGAGACGACTATCAAGAGTCCAATGGCAGAGTGGCGGAGCAGAAGCAGCTTCATTGAAGGCCATACACAGGCCTAGGTTTAAAAGTCCCTCACAGTTAATTCCAATAACGAACTCTACTCCTCCGTGCAATCTACTTACGAGACCCTGGGCAGGTCTGGGTCCAATTTGTGGGTAGAGACTGGTTTTGTTCAGCCATGCTTGAGCGAGTAATAACAGGTCTGTGCTGCCCTTTGGTGTCTGGCTTAATGCGCACAACACTGAACGTCCCAGCGTTTGTCAACGATTTGCCGTTAAGTGATGCAAATCCGCTGAACCACGTTCATGAGGAGCCGGTACAGGGGGCCATGAATCAGTATGGACCTGGCAGCAGCGTGAGCAGACGACAGAGGCACATGGCGCAGGGTGGCGGTGTAGGCAGCATTATTCTGAAGCCATACACAGGCCTAGGTTAAAAAGCGGAAGCCGTCAGCAGCGTGAGCAGACGACAGAGACACATGGCGCAGGGTGGCGGTGGATGCAGCAGTATTCGGAAGCCAAACACAGGCCTCGGTTAAAAAGCGGAAGCCGTCAGCAGCGTGAGCAGACGACAGAGGCACATGGCGCAGGGTGGCGGTGGAGGCAGCAGCAATGGAAGGCCATACAGCACCCTATCACAAAATGGAACCCACCAACAGTGTAAGGAGACCTGAAAGTGGCACATGGCAGAGTCTGGCGATGAAGTCAGCAGCAATGGGAGGCCGTACAGGGACCCATGACACACTCTGGACCTGGCAGCAGCAAGAGGAGGCGGTACAGGGGCCCATGGCAGAGTGGCGAAGCGTAAGCAGCTTAAATTGAAGGCCATACAGAGGCCTATGTTAAAAAGTCCCCCCAGCAGCAGTGTGGGGAGACGACTATCAAGAGTCCAATGGCAGTGTGGCGGAGCAGAAGCAGCTTCAATTGAAGGCCATACACAGGCCTAGGTTAAAAAGTCCCCCCAGCAGCAGCGTGGGGAGACGACTATCAAGAGTCCAATGGCAGAGTGGCGGAGCGGAAGCAGCTTCAATTGAAGGCCATACACAGGCCTAGGTTAAAAAGTCCCCCCAGCAGCAGTGTGGGGAGACGACTATCAAGAGTCCAATGGCTGAGTGGCGATCCGGGAAGTCAGCGTTGTGATTGCAGATTTGCAATGCAGAGATTCTATGAGGTGATGCCGTGGGTGCGAAGAAGATCATATACCGTCGTACTTCCATCCATAGACGGAACAACCCTGCGAACCGGGAGCTTTATTGCCCTGACCCGCTGAGCAGCTTCTGGGATACTACCCAAGAGGCCCCGCAGAGTGGGCGGGAGCGTAAGCAGCTTCAATTAAAGGCCATACAGAGGCCTATGTTAAAAAGTCCCCCCAGCAGCAGCGTGGGGAGACGACTATCAAGAGTCCAATGGCAGAGTGGCGGAGCGGAAGCAGCTTCAATTTGAAGGCCATACACAGGCCTAGGTTAAAAAAGTCCCCCCAGGAGCAGTGTGGGAGACGACTATCAAGGCCTCCCTCTCAGCAGGTGTGAAAAAGGCCACCATTTTTTGAACGGGTTGGGGGGGGGGGGGTAGCGAGGGAGGGTCCAACAAAGTGGACAGCCAAAAGTCATCCTCTGTCTGATGGTTATTATTCGGCTGTCGCTACGCAAGCAACCGAGCATGCTATGGGCCATTTGTGCCAAGGAATGCGAGGGACTCCCCTGCCTCCATCTCCACAGCATACTGCCACGGTGCGTCTGGGTCCTCTGTCTCCTCCTCCTCCTCCTCTACCAGATGCTCCTGCTCCTCCACTCCTGTCCGCTGAGTGGAAAAACCACCCATTTCACTCAATAATTCCTGAGCACAATGTCCTCCTCTACCTCCTCCTCTTCTTCCTGTCCTGCCCCCACAGGGGTCATGTGGCGTTGAGATCTGTGCGCCACGTCTACGGCACCCTGACCAGCCATTGTTAACAGCATTTGTTCCAGGACGTGCAACAGAGGAATGACGTCGTTCATCCCATAGTCCTGCCAACTCACGAATAGCGTGGCCTCTTCAAAGGGCCTGAGCAAGCGGCAGGTGTCACGCATGAGCTGCCAATGGCTGACATCTAAGTTACACAGGGGAGTACCTTTATCCGCTTGTAACATCAGGAAATCGGTGATGGCCTTTCACTGTTTCGTAAAGGCGGTCTAACATATGTAGGGTTGAATTCCACCTTGTTGCAATGTCGCAGATCAGGCGATGCTGTGGAATTCCGTTCTGCCGCTGCAGCTCAAGGAGGGTGTGCTTTTGCGGTGTAGGAATGGCTGAAATGCATGCAAAGTTTACGTGACATTTTAGGATGTCTTGCAGTGGGATGGTGGATTTTAGGAACTGCTTGACAACCAGATTGAACATGTGAGCCATGCATGGCGCATGGCACAACCTTCCTTGACGCAGAGCAGACACCATGTTCTTTCCGTTGTCGGTCAACATGGTTCCGATTTTCAGTTTGCGCGGAGACAGCCATCTGTCGATTTCTCTGTTCATTACACTCAGAAGTTCCTCCCCTGTGTGACTACGTTCGCCAAGGCATACCAGGTGCAGCACAGCGTGACACCCTTGCGCCCTGCACATGTGATATGCCGGTCGGGTAATGGGACTTGGCACGGTAGTGGCGGCTCTGTGAGGACACGGCGGAAGAAGAGGTGGTAGAGGCGGACATCTTTGCTGGACCAAGGACGTGCAAACGTGGAAGTAAAAACGGCGTGAGTGACCTGTCCAAGTTGCTGGTGCGGCTGTTGCCGGCACCACGTTCACCCAGTGGGCCGTAAAAACATGACATGTACTGTCCCTGACCGTAGTTACAGCTCCACACGTCGGTGCTGCCGTGCACTTTGGCAGAGACCGACATGCTCAAAGACTGGCCCACCATCTCTTCTACATGTGAATGCAGGGCTGGCACTGCCTTTTTGGCGAAGAAATGCCGGCTTGGCACTCTCCACCGCGGCTCAGCACAAGCCATCATTTCTCGGAAAAGGTGCTGAGTCCACCACTTGGAAAGGGAGGGACTGCAGCACCAGCAACTTGGACAGGAGGACGTTCAGCTTCTGCACCGTCGGGTGCGTGCTCGCAAACTGTTGTCTCTTGGAAACGGATTCCAAGAAAGACTGCTGACGGAATCCGTGAAGAGGAGTAGCAGGAGGAGGAGCATCTGAACGAGCGGAAGATGCCAACGAGCGACAACTCCCCTCAGCAGAGGTGTTGGAGCCTTGACTGGCTGATAGAGGGCGATTGACGTCGGGTGACGGAGCAAGTAACGGAGCGGGTGATGGAGCGGGGGCTGGGGCAGGCAGAACCGCCGTATCTTTATCACGGTTTTCCCAGGCCACCGAATGGCGACGCTGCATATGCTGATGCAACGCTGTAGTCCCAACATTGGCCCCCTGGCCACGCTTGACTTTCTGGCCACATAGTCGACATACGGCTACGTTTACTTCCTCGGGCGGGCTTGACGAAAAATTGCCACACCGTACGAGTAGGAAAAAACTTTGCCCCCGCTACTCCTCACTGGCTGACTGCTACTTCCTCCGTGCACACCGGCACCACTACTGGCCGTGGGTGGTAGGCTTGCAGTGGAGCTGGTGCTCTACTCCATGGCCGTTTGGCTCCACTGACACTGCTGCGACCCTGCTGCCTCCTGGGCAACCCACCGACTGTTTTGCTCGCTGGCAAGCTGGCACCCTCTTCTCCTGATGATGCGGAAGCAATAGCCTGATGACGACGAGGCTGCCAAGTGCGATCAGCCTCATCATCATCAATTAGGGTCTCCGCGTCACTACTAGCCCCCTCGGCTGCGTGTGGGTCAGGAGACAGACCTGTCTCTAGACCGGCTACCGAGCCACTCTCCTCGCCAGTACTTCTTCGCCTGGCTGCTGAAGAGGCGGATGTCTCCCCCCGTTCCTGACCGCCCTCTGTTAGCTCTTCCCACTGTACAGTGGGGCTGAGCCCACAGCATGCGATACTTCGCTTGGTGAGGGAACACCAAAGGACAGGGGCAGGTCGAGGACACGTGATTTCAGTGGGCTTGCTCCCGGGCCATGCCAACTAACGGTTGTGTCTGACGTACCCACCGACCGTTGGCTGTAGGTGTCAGAGGTGACCTGGGAAGAGGAAGATGACCGAGGTCAACCAATCAATGACGGCAGGGTTGTCGGTGGAGACACGACCGCTGGATGACACCGGGAGCACTGGCCTCTGGCTGCGACTAGTGCTGCCTCGACCCCTTCCTCTGCTGCCACGTCTGCTCGCTCCTGAAACATTGCCTCCTCTGCCACTCCTCTGCGTGTTGTCTGACATACTCTTTAATTCAATAAGCACCCCAAAAATAAAACCGGATTTAACTCTTTGAACGTACAATAGTGGTTGTGAAGCAGAAAGTCAGTTTATTGTACACAATCGGTCAATTGCAGCTTGCCGTTGGTGGAAACTGTACGTTTATGTCACTGGAATGCACTAATCACCCAAAAAATATTACCGCACCCGGCGTGTATATGGATTTAACTCTTTGAACGTACAATAGTGGTTGTGAAGCAGAAAGTCAGTTTATTGTACACAATCGGTCAATTGCAGCTTGCCGTTGGCTGTAAACTGTACGTTTATGTCACTGGAATGCACTAATCACCCAAAAAATATTACCGCCAGCCGGCGTGTAAATGGATTTAACTCTTTGAAACGTACAATAGTGGTTGTGAAGCAGAAGTCAGTTTATTGTACACAATCGGTCAATTGCAGCTTGCCGTTGGCTGTAAACTGTACGTTTATGTCACTGGAATGCACTAATCACCACAAAAAAATATTACCGCCAGCCGGCGTGTAAATGGATTTAACTCTTTGAACGTACAATAGTGGTTGTGAAGCAGAAAGTCAGTTTATTTAGCACAATCGGTCAATTGCAGCTTGCCGTTGGCTGGAAACTGTACGTTTATGTCACTGCTGGAATGTACTAATCACCCAAAAAAATATTACCGCCACCCGGCGTGTAAATGGATTAACTCTTTGAACGTACAATAGTGGTTGTGAAGCAGAAAGTCAGTTTATTGTACACAATCGGTCAATTGCAGCTTGCCGTTGGCTGGAAACTGTACGTTTTCTGTCACTGGAATGCACTAATCACCCAAAAAATATTACCGCCAGCCGGCGTGTAAATGGATTTAACTCTTTGAACGTACAATAGTGGTTGTGAAGCAGAAAGTCAGTTTATTTAGCACAATCGGTCAATTGCAGCTTGCGTTGGCTGGAAACTGTACGTTTATGTCACTGGAATGCACTAATCACCCAAAAATATTACCGCCAGCGGCGTGTAAATGGATTAAACTCTTTGAACGTACAATAGTGGTTGTGAAGCAGAAAGTCAGTTTATTTAGCACAATCGGTCAATTGCAGCTTGCCGTTGGCTGGAAACTGTACGTTTATGTCACTGGAATGCACTAATCACCCAAAAAAATATTACCGCCACCCGGCGTGTAAATGGATCTAAACTCTTTGAACGTACAATAGTGGTTGTGAAGCAGAAAGTCAGTTTATTGTACACAATCGGTCAATTGCAGCTTGCCGTTGGCTGGAAAACTGTACGTTTATGTCACTGGAATGCACTAATCACCCAAAAAATATTACCGCCACCCGGCGTGTATATGGATTTAACTCTTTGAACGTACAATAGTGGTTGTGAAGCAGAAAGTCAGTTTATTTAGCACAATCGGTCAATTGCAGCTTGCCGTTGGCTGGAAACTGTACGTTTATGTCACTGGAATGCACTAATCACCCAAAAAAATATTACCGCCACCCGGCGTGTAAATGGATCTAACTCTTTGAACGTACAATAGTGGTTGTGAAGCAGAAAGTCAGTTTATTTAGCACACAATCGGTCAATTGCAGCTTGCCGTTGGCTGGAAACTGTACGTTTATGTCACTGGAATGCACTAATCACCCAAAAAATATTACCGCCACCCGGCGTGTAAATGGATCTAACTCTTTGAACGTACAATAGTGGTTGTGAAGCAGAAAGTCAGTTTATTGTACACAATCGGTCAATTGCAGCTTGCCGTTGGCTGGAAACTGTACGTTTGTGTCACTGGAATGCACTAATCACCCAAAAAAAAATATTACCGCCAGCCGGCGTGTAAATGGATTTAACTCTTTGAACGTACAATAGTGGTTGTGAAGCAGAAAGTCAGTTTATTTTGCACAATCGGCAAACTGCAGCACCAACTGTGCACGACAGCCACCAAAAAAAAAAAGGGTGTATGTCACTTTAAATTTTCGATTCTTTGATAGCTGTGGCCCTAAGTAACGATTCTGTGTCCCTGAGTAACGATTCTGTGTCCCTGAGTAATGATTCTGTGTCCCTGAGTAACGATTCTGTGGCCCTAAAATCTCTGTGGCCCTAACTCTGTCCCTTAATACACACAGGTCTGTCTCTCTTGAATGACCGGAGGCTAATGGAGAATTCTAAGATGGCCACGATTTATAGCTCCACCATTACACAGTGCTGGCTGGCTGCTGATTGGCTAATGCGATCACATGTCATGAATGCATTATGGGTCAGCGCGCCTTGTCTGCGCGCCTTCCCAGAGATCCCCGCCCCATCTTCTCTGTCCATTTTCTCCGTCGCCACACATGTCGCCGCCATTTTTGGGAAAATTCGATTCGTGCATCCGAAGTTTGCTAATCTTCAGATTCGTCCCGAATAGAATTTTTCCAAATCTTCGGAACGAATTCCACTTCGTCATGTTCGATTCGCTCATCTCTACAACTCACCTTTGTAGTTATATTACATGTTAAAGCTTATTTCATAATTGGCCTTATTTTAAGGTTGTTCTTCATTTATTTTGCTGAGCTTTTTTTGTTTGTTTTCTAATCTATTTTAATCTTTTTACACTCTGCTTTAAAGTAGAAGTAAAAGCAAATTTGTATTTTCATTTTGGATAGAAGAAGGAAGAATTACAACCTCTGATGTTTTTTTTTTGCCAACTTGGTGTCATTGGGGGAGATTTCCCTTCACCTCCTGCCCCTGAAGCTAAATAGAAAGTAAGAGGAAATCCCCAAAGTGAGGGAATCTATGGCTGTCATCAGGATCACCAGAACTTGAGTTCCCTTTGGAAGATTTCCCTTTCCTGTTCTGGTGATAATGCAAAATTTGGGCCTTCAGTCTTTACAACCACTTTAAAACTGCTAACACATCTAACACTACCCTTCCCCCAGACTGGCAATGCTGATGTGTGCTGTACCGCCTGTGCTCATTCATCCAGAGTGGTGTCTCACTAATAATGGAGGTGCGCTAATGGCCATATCAACAGGTGAAAACAGTGGGAAAAGCTAAAGAAAAGAAAACTGATGCATCCACCGCATCTAATGCTTGGTAAGCTGCAATATACTACATTTTTGGTTTTAGGTTTAATAGCGCTTTAAATAATCTGTGCAGTTTCTATTTTCAAAGTCATTGGTTCTGCAATCCTTTTAAATAAATTATCTATATTCTAAAATATATTACATTTAGACTTATACTGTTAATATTAATCGCATGAAACATTACATTAAATGTTGCAGAAATATCACTGCACATGGCAAACTTTTAACCACTTGCCACTTAGAGGATTTACCCCCCTTCCTTACAAGGCCTCTTTTTGCTACTCGGCGCTGCACTAATTCAACTGATAATTGCGCGGTCATGCAATGCTGCACCCAAATGAAATATACGTCCTTTTTTTTCACACAAATAGAGCTTTCTTTCAGTGGTATTTGATCACATGTGCGCTTTTCATTTTTCACGCTATAAACAAAAAAAGATCAAAAATTTTGAAGAAAAATTATATTTTTTACTTTCAGCTATAACAAATATATAGTAAACTCAAAGTTGGTTATAAATTTAGGCTAAAATGTATTCTGCTACATGTTTTTGGTAAAAAAAATCCCAATAAGTGTATATTGATTGCTTTGTGTGAAAGTTATAGTGTCTACAAAACTTTGGTAGAGATACTGCAATTTACGCCATTTTTTTGCTATACAGCACTGCACTAGTTTAATGGACAACTGCGCGGTCATGCAATGCTATACATAAATTAAATTTATGTCGTTTTTTTCACACAAATAGAGCTTTCTTTTGGTGGTATTTGATCACCTGTGCACTTTTTATTTTTGGCGCTTCAAACAAAAACATTTTTGAAGAAAAACAATTTTTTTGAAAAAAAAACAATATTTTCTCAGTTCGGTCATAAAAAATATCCAAAAAAACTAAAATGTCATCATAAATTTAGGCCAAAATGTATTCTGCTACATGTTTTTGGTTAAAAAAATCCCAGTAAGTGTACATTTATTGCTTTGTGTGAAAATTATAGCGTCTAGAAACTATGGTATAGATAATGGAATTTACACAGCATTTACTTTCTGACTGCTCATCACATTTCATGAGGTGCTAAAATGCCAGGATAGTACAAACACCCTCAAATGACCCCTTTTCATAAAGTAGACACCCTAGCTGAAAGGCATATTGTGTCCATGGAAGATTTATTTTTTTTCCACAAGTTTCTGGAAAATGACAAAATACATTCTGCTACTTCTACCGAGTATGAGATACCACACGTGTGAGACTTTTTGAGAGCCTAGCCACATACAGGAGCCTGAAATCAAATGACCACTTTGAAAGCCTGAAGGTGCGTAACTTCCTCATTTCATTTCCTCAATACCTATCACAGTTTCGAAGGCCCAAACATGCCAGGATAGCACCAAACCCCCCCAAATGACCCCTTTCTGGAAAGTAGACACCCCAAGGAATTTAAAGAGGCATGGTGAGTATTTTGCAGATCTCATTTTTTCTCACAAGGTTTTGAAAAATAAAATAAATTGAAAATATAGGTTTTTGTTTTTTTTCTTCATTTTCCAAAAACTTGTGGCAACAAATGAGATCTGCAAAATACTTACCATGCTTCTTATCAAATTCTACTTTCCAAAAAGGGGTCATTTGGGGGGGTTAGGTGCTACCCTGGCATTTCAGGGCCTCCGAAACTGTGATAGGCAGTCTGGAAGTGTAATGAGGAAATAAAGCAATTAAAAGCCTGAAGATGCTTATTAGATTTTGGGGTCCTGTACTTGGCTAGACTGCCAAAACGTCGCCCTGCATCCACCCACTTCTAATGGTGGGAACACATTAGGTCACACTTTGCCACAAGCGCCAGTTCCAAGATTGTACAAATGTCTAAATAGTGGCAAGCTTGAATAAAAATTGTCCATGTATAAGTGGTACCCCATATGGAAATAGGATGATACCAAGTCCCAAACTATCTTGCCACTGCTCTCCATGTCGTTTGGGCATCCGGGGGGCTCCACGTGACTATCTTTTCCCTCGTAAAACCGAAATGTATAAGTATAGCCTGTTTCCCTCTCACAGGTCTTCTATATCTTGACCCCATATCTGGCACACTTGCAGGGGAGAAATTGTTTGAATGCAAGGCGGCCAGAAAAATTAATTAGGGACTCATCAACGCAGATTTTTTGCTGAGGAGTATAGACATCTGCAAATTTTTGGTTAAGGTGATTGCAAGGGGCTGAATTTTGTGTAGCCGGTCAAATTCAGGGTCAACCCAAGGATGACAGAGTGTATTGTTGTTGAAATGCATAAAACACATTATACTCTCATATCTATGTCTGGCCATGGCAGCAGAGAACATGGCATAGGATGAATCGGGTCTTTTGTAATGCCCATGTTGAGGGTTAGGCCCCCAAAAAAAGTAAATTCGGAAACCGTAATGGGTTTCCATGCAAATGGTCTGGCAAGGTTTGAATTTGGGTTGGCGACGATAAATTGTCGTGTATATAAATTGCTTTGATCCACAATCAACGCATACAGATATTCCGTGAAAAACAGCTCCAAAAATCAAGGGGAGTAGTTAAATTTTCTATTTACACCTGAATTCTGGGTTGGGCAGTGATCGGGGGAAGTACAAGTGCTGCAAAATTTGTGGACTGCCAATCGGGATTTGCAAGCACATCCGGAAGGATATTAGGGGCTCTATGGGCCTGTGTGCGAATTCTTGGTGGCTGCGGGACAATATTTGTGCTTGCTACCGCACCAGTTTGTACTACACTTATAGGACTCACCACGTCACCAAGTCATACTGCAGTGCTGGTATTATTATTATACAGGATTTATATAGCGCCAACAGTTTGTTCAGCGCTACAATATAAAGGGAGACAATACAGCAACAATACAGTTCAATGCAAGAGGGTTAGGAGGGCCTGATCCTGGGAGCTTACAATCTAAGAGGCTGCATATGAGAGTCATCAAAATTTACCGGCAAGTGCTAACAGAGATCAGGCCTGATTCTGCGAACACTGCGGTTTTGTGTGTAATATATCAAGTGACAGGGACCTACTGACACTGCACTTGCTGGGGGAGAGAGGGGGGGTAAACATAGGGGCTAAACGCAGGTGCTGGCAGGTGTCGGGGCTGATCCCGTTAACGCTGAATTTCTGAGGACGCTATACTAATGTGAACGCTGGTATAGTGCTGATCTGATCAAAGATATTGATCCGTTCAGACACTATACTAGCAATGGAGATTTATTGTGTATGAGCGTGTTGCTGGCAATCAAGGGGTTAAATGTGATGACTGGTGTACTGACAGGCAATCTGACACTACCTGGGAGAGGCGTGAAAACCACAGGAGCACAAATCATGTATATATATATATATATATATATATATATATATATATATATATATATATATATATGTGATTTTGCACACCTGTGCCGCCCTGTAGCAGTATTTCTGCTATAGGGCGGTCAGGAAGCTGTTAGAGAAGTGGTTTGTGTTACGTCGCTGTGTTGCTTCAACTGACAATTGCGTGGTCATGCAACCCAAATTAAATTTACGTCCTTTTTTTCCCACAAATTGAGCTTTCTTTAGGTTGTATTTGATCGTCTGTGCATTTTTTATTTTTTGCACTATTAAAAAAAGGCTGACAATTTTGAGAAAAAAAAACAATATTTTGGACTTTTTGCTATAAAACATGTCTAGTAAAAAAATTTAAAAATCAAATTTTGTCATAAATTTCTGCCAAAATGTATTCTGCAACATGTCTTTGCTAAAAAAAAATCCCAATACATGTAAATTAATTGGTTTACATGAAAGTTATAGCATTTACAAATGGAGGGAAAATTTTTTTTTTTTTATAATTGTGGCAATCAGCAACTTATGGCGGTGATCAGCAATTTATGACAGCGATTAGCGACTTATGGCGGTGATCAGCGATTTATGACAGTGATTAGCGACTTATGGCGGACATTGGGGTCACTGACATTCCCAGTTACACCAATACAGTGATCAGTGAAAAAAAAAACACTGACACTGTACTAATGGCACTGGGGAGGAAGAAGTTAACTTTTTTATTGAATGAAAGGGTTAACTGTGTGAGGGGAGTGTTTTACTAGTG